TTCTAGATTTCGCGCAATGGCAAAATATCCTTTCCATTTTTCGGTTGAATCGGATCTTTGCACAAAGTAAGCTGTGGTCCGAACCTGTTCAGAACGACGGAACCACTCCGACATCGATCAAGCTCCATTTCCTGTTGACGAGAATATGATCGATATCTGCATGTGACGTTCCATTTGGTGACTCCCACGTCCAGCGGCGGTGTTCTTTCTTCTGGTAAAATAAAATTTCTATGGAATAAACGGGCCGCTTCGATGAATTCGACGAGTCTGTCTCCATTCTCGTTCCGACTTCCCAGTCCAAATTTTCCGATTCTGTCGCCTTGTTGTTGTGACTGTCCTATCCTTGCATTGAAGTCGCCAATGATAAACTTGTAGAACGAGTTCTCCGTGCGAATGGCGTCTTCCAGCTCCCCATAGAACTTGTCGAGTTCGGCTTCATCTGCTGCATCTGTTGGCGAATAACAGTTGATGATACTGATTTTCTTCCGACCTGGAGCAACAAGTCTTAGGACTGCTAGTCGCGGCGACAGGACTTCATAAGAGTCAATGAGATGGCTAACGGATTGGTGTACGACAAATCCCAGACCTCCGATATTACGTGTTGGAGCCTTCTCTCCTAGTATGATAAGAGTTCCATCCTTCCTTCTGAGGGTAGTCGAGCTTTGTTCTTTGTTTCTTGCAAAGCATTCACATCGTATTTACGCGGCTTGCGGCGTCTACGAGAACGGAGAGCTCATGAGCTGAAGCTAAGGTCCTTGCATTGCACGTGCACAATCAAAAACAGCCTCGGTGTCTTGTCGAATCCGCTTTGCCGATAGGATCAATGGATGTCTCGCTTTGCACTTGAGATCTCTTTGCCCCTCATCGGCCATACTGCCATCCGACGTCCTAAGCGGCAGACGAACACGGTACGCAGGGTACTGGGCGACTGGTTTAAAGTTGTGCAAGCCATTGAAATTCCCGCCTCCCTGGATAGCCTGGCTGGAGCGTTCTAGGGGTGTGTCGAAGCAGTCGCCTCTCTTTGGATGACACTGACGGTTTCTGCCTGGCGACTTCAGCACGCGTTGTCAGGCAGGTGGCAATGGCAACGGATTCTGACATGTTGACCTGGGGTGGTCTGCTTTAGCTGGCTGTCTCGCAGATACGGACGTTCTTGCTACACCCAGGGGCACCCCCTCTCCATTTTGAGGCAGCATACCATGAGACTTTACCTATATGATTGACAAATATTGGCAGAGTAAAGCAAAGACCCTTTCAGATGCATAATAGGAGACGTTATAAAGGCTACCCTAATTTAACGAGAACAAAACGCACTTGTTTTTTCTAAGTTCAACCAGCCTGGATACGACATAATTTCGCGAGCAAAAAACCCTCTATGTTGCTGCTCCTTACTCAAAAGAATTATGTGAGAGAGCAAGCATTCGCGAGGCACAGTGGTGCGGGCTGAGTTACTTGCTTGAAAAAATGAAGAAGATGCGCCTGCTATACCCAATACGATAGTGAATAAAAAAGCGCATTGTTTTCCTAAATCACAGATCATGAGTCAAATTTATACGTCCCAATAGCGATACTAAGATTGGGTTGATACTGTGAACATGCTGTGTTTGCAGTGCAGTGACGCCTGAGTTATTACCAGTACATGACTGACTGGCCTATACATGAATACTGCAACCCTAATATTTGCAATCTCGACAGTATTTCAGCGCTTCACCTTTCCTCCTAGATGATGCGCTTATGATGATATAATAATTACTTGGGGCTTGGATTGCTCTTTCATACATGCAGTCCTCCCCAAACGATACATTAGAACGGAGCTTCTTTCACGAATCATTTTAAACGTCCTATGCCAGGTCAGCGTTCTCCGTTCAGTGGAGGCAGCTTGGACCTTAGGAACAGAATTTTAATAAATTAAACGCTCTTATGCATCTCGCAGAATCCACGCTATTCATTCGCCTTGAGATTCTCCAACAAAACAACTCAGACATTCGCGGTCAAGTCCCGCCAGTAAAAAACTTGCGTCCAGATGGAATGACTGCGGAACACAAGTAAAATGGTTTGCGAGAAAATTAGGACTCCTGCATTTCGTTCGCAATGATGCTGCGCGGTTGTCCCGAAATAATCTACTGAGAAAACCGGGAGCTCCTGCGGAGGCCTGATAATGTCGCGATTCAATCACCAGCGAGACTTCCGCTCTAAGCTACGACCTCCTGCGGGAAACGCAATGTGGCAACGATTCGATTAGTTGCTGCCTGGGCTTTTTCTCGAACTGCTTCTCCCTCAAAAGTACTCAAAAACTCAACAAACCTTTTAAAAAGGTGCTGAGAAGCATTTAAAACCACTAGTTATTAGCTTTCATGATCGAAAAAATCATTGACGTCACCAAAACAGATTGACCGAAACAACTCTGAAATGTCTAGATCAACAGGATCATTTAAGGTTAAATCCATAATTCAAGCTAACTTCACACTTTGAATCTCTCCCTCTTGCTCATGTTCCGCCGCAATTGCCTGCTCCAGCTCAGTTTGTAGAAGCAGGCCAGTGGTACATATTTGTTTAGAAAAGAGTTTAACGAAGGAGCTTGCGAAAAGAAAAGATAGACACCCAAAATCATTCACTTTTTTGAGCCTATGTGACAGGCCAGAAAGTCCCAACCTATGAAAATTTGAAAATCTTCATGTACTAAATAGCGAAGTTTTTGTGCATAATTTGCAGCCAAGATCCTAACCTCAAGCATACAGAAATGAGCGAAGCTTCGGCGATTGCCTTAACCAGAAGAAATTTTTGGCCCATAGAACGCTAGGCAGCAAGTATCTATTTTGGGGGATCGATTTTCAGTCCGGATATATTCAGAAAATTTATTCAAACATACAATACGTAAACAATGTTCAACCCACACGGTGGCTTTTTTTTTTCAAAACATTTCCTTCATTCATGCCTGAATTGTAGCCATGAAAGCTATAGCAATAAAATTTCGATTTTGAGTGTGGCTGCGCAAAATGTTGGTATAATTCTCACAGATGAGATGAAAGGTTTTTACTACTGTTAGAGAATACATGAAGAAAGCTTTCCAATGATGTGCAGAACGTCTACCGAAACGGATGTGTGATGGAAAAAAAGTTGCTCGTAAAATAAGCTTAGAAAAACGGACCTTATTATTGCACCAACTTAACACGAGAACAAATCACTTGCGCAATTACATAATTCTTGTGGCTGGGTGAACCCCCCGCCCTCCTCCTTAACCCCCACCATCCTCTGTCAGCCACTGCTTGAAAGGTATTATGCGCGTTACGATTGCGATTCCTGTCGCATTATAGAATAACTAAACGTATATTGAATAAGAGAGAAAAAAATCTTTTTGAACACTCCTAGTTCCTTCCCTTAGACGGAGCAAGGGATTTCAAAACTCTCAGCTCCTCAGTAAACTATTTTTACTGCAAATTGGGATCTGAATTAGTGACGTTTGTAGAAATTATCCTCTTTGACTATCTCCCCTTGGTTGTTAGGCAGACCTCTGCTATTTTCAGTAGCAAAGAGTCAAGTAAGGGTTTTGCGATCAAAACGTTACCACAAAGTAAACTTTAGGTGTAGAATGGATTTGTCTAGTGGAAAACCTATGTGAGCTGGAATTTCGCCACCTCCAGGATTCGCCTCGGTGAGCTGAATCCAAATCTGCCTTCAAATTTGAAATCCATTGAGAACGAAGGGAGTTATGACGAAAAGACGCAAAGTCGGCGACATCGGCGACATCGGCGAATTCGGCGACATCGGCGAATTTGGCGAATTCGCCGAAGTTTTTCACATTCCACTGTCACAACTGTAGTGTGGGAATTGCACCCTGATTTGAAAAAAAATTGGGCAAATTCTTCGTATGCATTTGCTTTTCATATAATTTCGCACTTTGTTTCGGCTCCCTGTTGCGAATGTGCAGGCGAGATTTGGAGCCTACTCGCTACGTGGTTGCAAACAATTCCTCCACTTCGCAAACCAAAATTCTTCAGAAAAAGCGTGTCACAACCTTCAATCATATAAACTCTCCACAACATGCACTATACTCCCCCTAACCCTTGTTCGCTTCTAAGAAATTCGGAGCCACATCGTTATTTTTTACTGTAAACGAGGCAGTTAACACCCATTTGGTCTAAATGATTTACAATGGGAAATAATTTGCATATTGGAAGGCCGCACGGCGAGCTATGTCTCATACCTTTTGCCATCAGTGTGCAGTCAAACCGGAATTTTTTTGTTGTGCATTACGATGCTGACAATGTACCCTAAAGGCCACGCGTAACCTTGAGCTGCTATCTGGTATATTTGTTGCCAAGAAGTTTTGTGAAGCTACTTTGCCGCGCTTGTAATCTATAGCATTCTACCACTGCACCAATGCGTGCACTCTTCTTATTCTTTGTCGTTTGTTTCAAATAAGCTACTATAGTTTACCATTACTTCACCTCTGCTGCGCAAAGGTTTGCACTGGCCTACATAATGATAATGGCCCTCCAATCATTCTTCATTCGAAGACCGTTAAGTACCCTAATTTCACGCGCATAAGGCGTACTTTTTCGAATTTTCGAGCGAGCCGCTCAGCCGCTTCACTGTCTGGAAAGAAATCCTTACATTGCACAATTCTCTCAAGCAGTATACAGCACGTTATAGGGTCCTTTGGTGTAATGTCCTCTGGCTTGTCTGGGCTGGTCGATTTTGGAAAAAAATCCCCCCGCGCCTTATACGCGTGAAATTAGGGTAATCACAAAATGGACCTTACATGTTATGCAGCGCCCACATGCATTAGCAATGTAAATCATTTCTCTCTGTCATTTCGTAACAAATCGATGACAGACCGACAAATTAGCGGCCTGTTATGAATTCTCATGTATTCTACGTAACAATAGGACCATCGGTCTAAAGGACACCTATTTCTGAAGATAGCAACAAAGCTTGCATCAAATGCGACCAGGGTCTAAAATCATGTGTGTAAAAGTGACTTTTGCTGCATTTCTCAATGCGCGCATATATTTATTGCGAATAAAGTACAGTATATAGACAGTGAATACATATTCTTGGCATGTAATCAGTTGAATGGAAGTACACGCGCAGCTTGCTTCTTTGCTCTGGTACCCATCAATTCTGTAACATAATGATAATGTATATTACAGAAATAAATTGGAAAAATCAAAACGTTACTTCCAAAATAGTCCTCTGCTTCTACCCCCATGTAGGGCCACTTTCCGCTGGACCGAGCTATAGTGAAAACGACTTGATAGAGTGTTCGCGTCAGTGTGCAATCCATGTGCAGATCACGGACTTTCAGAATCATCTCTTTCGGTGTAAGGCTCATGTCCGAAAGAATTTTGTACACCTGTAAAAGCAAACAACTACAGGTGATGCTGGCAAAAACTGCAGATTCTTTACCTTCGGGTACACCTCTGTCATTTCGTGTAGGGTCTTAGTAGTGTTCTTGTTGACCTCCTCCCAGAAATTCTCAATCTTTTTTACCCACTGGTTGACTGCATCCTGGAAGCGATTTTTTTCTTAATCATACAAAAAAGATTGACCAATCCAATTCAGATACTACTTTCAGCAAACGAGGACGTTTATAATTTTAGGGAAGGGATTTACCACAAGTTGCATGCTGTGCCTTTTTTGAACACCATTTTAATGCTGTCGCAAAAACTCTCATATAAATCTTATTTTATACAGTTTTTATACAATCATAAAAGATAAATAATTACCAGTTTTGTTCTGTTTGCTGCGTAAGCAATCGGATTCACGATGATAATTATCTACGGATTTCCCCGTCCATGATTACTTCCGTACAATGCTGCACTACTTACCTCTACATTATTTTTCTTTGCCCATTGACTAAGTTTATCCAACTTGTCTTGCATAGAAGTGCTGAAGTTCCACATAATCTCATAATATTCAAGGCGCGCTTCCTTGCTTACTTTCCTGAAAAAACCACACGCACTGTCAACAAATCAGAATCCTTTATCGACAAGGCTCACTTCAAAAATGCTGGCATGTGATGGTGACGATGTCGATCGTGATGGTCACATCCGGGGAGATCTGGCTCCTCATTGTCATCGTAGACTGAGAAAGATATTTTTAGAATTAGGTAAAACATTCCTTGGTAGCGTTTTGCTGCTGTTTTACATCCTTTCTCTTGATAAGGAATGGAACTTCTGGTAGTAGCGGATTTTAGACTTTCAACCTCAACATATGAATCCTGTGTGGCATATGTTCGAAAGACCTTGTTCAGATAATGTTACAAACCTCAGCCATTTTAGTTTATTTGGCTGGGTCTTTCTAATGGAATCCTTAAACAAAATATGGCCTGCTCCTACGTGATTAGCTACATGCTGCTAATTGAGTAAGAAAGAAGACTGTCAGCATCGAAAACGGAAATAAGGGCGTGCAAAGAATGGCTTATAGAAGTTGGTTAGCCGGTATATATACACGAATGACTCCTCAAACTGATCTCATCTAACCACATTTCCTAAGATCGATTCTGCTCCATCGCTCACAGTTCTAGAAAATGGTAGATATTTTTGTGACAACACCGCTAGCGCGCTATCCTTCTCTTAAGTCATCATCTGCTATTACGTAATTCTTATTCACTTTATAACTTTTGTAGTAAATCGGTACCATGTAATAGATAACATGCTGGTCAAAGATAATGCTGTGACTCACCTTTGTTTCCTCTCCATGCCATAACACTCGCTAACGCCAGTGTGATCACTACGATACGTATGAGGTACTGCATCTGGAAAAGATTATTGTAGTTTTGTAAAAGCATTGTTTAATTATGTTTATCAGCAAGGAATGAGTAAGTAGAGCCATCAAGAACTAATGCGCAAAGACTGTAAAGATCTGAAATTTGCGGAAGTCTGATACTGCATTTCAAGCATGACGTGATATGCAGTATCAGTTTATTCTTATACTTACGATTACTGCAATTGTTTTGTAAACTTGGTAAGTGAGAAATCATCTCGTGATAATTGGACGATTAATAAATGACGCAAACGAAACTGAAGGGCTAATTGTTATAGTCTACGAAATCATATCATAATCAGAAGACTGAAAAGTTACAGAATTTTAACAAAGCAAATTTCGTACACTGGGCTGACTCGATTCTCGACTTCTTTGTACGAGGATGCGGCAGAATGCACGGTAGATTTGGAGAAGGAAGACATTTGTAAACAAACAGCTACAGATTATACTATACAATTACAGAAGAAGTCCATAAGGCTGGAGAGATCCTGTGCAAACATCCCTTTCCTTTTCTTTTTCTACAAGGTTTTTTGCGCCAAGGTCAGAACGTGCTGTTGCGAAAATCACTTCCAGATGATTTAATGTCTCTCTGGCTGATCGATAGAACATTTTTTTTTCATCAAATTCTTCATGTGCTTAGACAAATTTGTGGAAGTGAATGGGTACACTTAAGAATTATAGGAAAATTTACATCACTGATTGTAAATTTGACAGTTCAGTCAGTAAGAAATCATATCCCTGATTTATTCTCACACACATATCTCAAACTGCAATTGTATTAGTGAAGAAGAAGTTGAAATGGATCCAGAAAAAAAAACAATGACGCAGTCACATGGTCGTCGGGGCAGCTGTTTTTCTACCGTTTTCGGCCTCGTATTTATACGTGTTGTGTTTGAGATAAACTTGGTTTTATCTTTCGCATCATCAGTAAACGAAGCATGGACAGATCACATGTTTACGTTTACAATTCCGTCTGTGCAGGGGCGATTACGTATTTGGTACTGAATGGTGACAGTTACGGTAATAGCTGATAAGGGGGAGGTTTTTGAAAATGTGCGCATATGAAATCTCAGAATTTGGGAGAGCAATTTGTCTGAAACGTAACTTCCTCCTTGTCCCTATGACGCATTTTTTTGAGCTCATAATTTCAATCAGTTATCACCACCAGACAGCAGTTTGTCAATTAGTTCAGGTCATGTCGCAGACAGTCATCACCCTGTTGTGATGAAACTTATGTTTTCTACAAAATACACACACTCAGACCGTGTTTACTTCACTGATAGCGAAAGCAACTGACGGCTGCTCCGAAAGAAATCGAGATGTTTGCACTTTGTTGACGGTAAAGTCTTGTAGGCACTCGAGCCTAGTTTGATACATCTAGGACTCCCCAAACTGCCCTATTGCATTTTCTGAAACCTTAATGGGTTCTTTCACCACTTGTTTTTCATATAGTCAAAATTTACTTTCAATAAAAATGACCATGGTCGAACGTTACGCACACCTTATAAGGTTTGGGTTCTATAATATTCCCTCTTCAGTCTCTATACCTGTACAGCTTCAGTAGCCTTCAGGTAAATGCTCAGGCTTTTAGTGATGGCAAATGAACAGTCTATCACTTTCAACAACTCATAGCATAAACGTGCAATCCGTTCTTTTGAATTAGAATGCTCATCCTTGAGTGTTCCATGGATAACTGGTAGAAGACCAGAGCCTTCCCATTATTTTTATACAAAATCTTAGGTAGTCGCTAGAAGCTAGGCAAAATTTTCTTTTCATTAGACTGATATTCTCTGCTTTGAACTCATTTTTTCCCGTTTTTAAATTTGAAGTTTCGCCTGTCGTTAGCAAGATTATAGAATATCGAAAGCCTACGTTCTATATAGACTTGTACATAGACAGTTTCCAAAATCTGTCCAGCGTTAGCTTGCGTAGGCTTCTAGCAAAATCGGATGTCTATGTTGTAAGCCCACTTTCTTCCCATTTCCTCCTAAACAAGCGACAAACAGGAATGTCAACGCATATTCAATTGTTGGAACAAGTCTGGAGTTTCATAATTATCCCGAAATTATTCACATATGTGAGTTGCTGACAATGCGCAATAATGCGCAATAAAAGCAAAAAATTTCAAAAGCAAATAAAAGAAATTTTCAGCCAGTAGCTTTTTTCTCCGTCTTGTTTATAAAAAAAAAGTCTGTTTTACAGCTAGTGCTTTTTACAAAAGATCCTATTCAACTAAGTTTTTTTTGATCATTCCCCGCAGAGTGGCAAGAAGCTTGTTGCCTTTCAAAACAGAATAAATCGATTAAAAAGTGTTGAATTGTACGAAGTAAGTGGTAACATACGAATGATGGCCAATCCATCTCACTGCTCTAAATTTAACTCACGCATTTCCCATCGTTTTATCTCCTTTTTTTCTTCTCTTACAATGTGATCGATTGCTTTCACATGTTTTCAGCCTCCTTCTGATTTCTGGAATTCCCATGTTAATGTTAGTAAAGGCTGAAATCGATCTTCGGTAAATAGGCCGTGATAGCGATTAAGTGGCTGAGTCAGGTGTTTACAAAGTGTATTGATAAGGACTTGCCCACGCTTCCTCCTACCGATTTAAACCTGACTACCAAAAAATCAGCTGCGTGGTCTTGTGGCTCATGTGCAAATATGAAGCTGCTCGTAGCAAGGTAAGACCACTTCTGTCAATAGTGTGGGATCCCAGACTGAGTAAACCATATGGTTAAGCACACCAGAGTGTAACAGTGTGCTTAACGATGAGGATATATTATTGTCGATATTAGATTATACAGTCGTCTCACACCCCAGCAGACACGTTTGAATTTGAATGGAGCAGTAGGTTGCGGTAGAGCGCGGCACCCTCAGCCCAGACTTTGAGTTTAAGCATGTTTTCAATTAGGTTTTTGTAATTGCATACTATTTTGCGTATGAACAATGTGTGTGACTAGAACTGGCGGTGTCGGTTTGAATGTGTCTATCTGATAATGTTTTCAAATATCTTCAAACTCTGCCCGTTTCTTCAATGCTTGAAGAAGCTATGCAGATGGGGAATTTGAGACATGAAACTTAGTAAAAAACACTTTCGCACCTTTAATTCACCAGAAAAAAATTTAAAGGCTAAATCTAACCCACCCCTCCGATTAGGGTCGGTCCTGAATGTAGGCCCCACGAGAAGGGCATTTGCGTTCATCCGGTCCTCTTTTGTCTCTGAATGGAGATAAAGGGCCTGGAACAGCCAGAGTGCTCTGCTATTAGGCCCAGCAGATCCTAGACTTCACTCTCCCATGTACTGAAACCCGCCCGTGCACTCAATATAGCGTCCTCAGGAATCGGGTTTTTTGGAGGGGGAGGGGTTGGACTATTTGAACTTCATAACTGTAATTAGGGCCACAGAAAAGTCCCGGAATGGCAAGACATGGAAGGCAAAATTTTGAGTGGACGCTGCCTGTAGGTACAATTTTCGCATTCATTCTTTTCTCCAAATTTACTTAGAATTCAAGTAAAAGACGAGCATATCATTATGCACATCGCTCGATTCCTATTGGGAAAATTTTGAAAGCACAGAAAGTAGCGCGCAGATGTAAGTGACGTAAAACATGCGTGAAACGGAACTGAGAGCCAAAGGTGCCGCGCTCTACCGTAACTTGCCTGCTCCAGTTCAAATTCCAATCCTCCTACTCGGAGGCTATAACCACTAAAGCGGCACATTCTCAAAGTACAAACTGAATAATTTTTCAACATATCAACCTACATATCGAAGAAAACAAGGAAAGTAATCCTTCCGCTCCTCTTCTTCTCTGGAGTCTTCAGTAAAGTTAAGAGCTCCTTTGCTTCGCTATTGGGATTTGGAGACCGAACAAGATTGATTCTATTCTGCTTGGTTCCCTTGTTGTAAAATTGATAATTAGGATAAGCCCTGATGAAGTTCGCAGCACTTGAGCACGATCTCTTATCCCACGATTTTTCCGTTTATAAGTACATCTCTTCGATTTGACCCTAGGTATAGTGCATTCATAACCCATACTCACAAAGCTTTGGAAGCTGATAAGCCAGTTTCTTTGTAAACTTACAGATTGGTAAGGTCTGATAATACTTTCAACTCACAATCATAGCCATTAGGTCGTACCGAAGGTAAACTCCATTTCTGAGTAATTCAAGCTGTTTTTGTTTTTTTGATAGACTTAGAGTATCATTCGATAGAGCAGATCAAGCTCTACAATATGGCATGGATCCGCCTAAGTCACATTCTATGTAAAATTTGAAGCCAAAATAAAAAAATTTATCGCCTGAAAACAAAAAAAAAATAAAAATTGGATTTTTGCGAGGGAAATATCTATGGACCTCCGACTTGGTCATTATATGCACAAAGACATAGCCCAAATAAGCGTTTGCTGGATTTTTTCCAAAATAGAAAGCGAGAACTAAAGATGGTCAAAAGTTGGCAAACTCCGCCCCAGCCCCTCCCATATACGTCGTTGTATACTGCCCTTGCTAAGTATAATCTCAAAACTTTACTCCTGTATGTGCTTTTATAATCGGGAATTATAAAGTTCAACCAGATACATCTTTGGGTACTAGCATGTGTCTACTATATAAAGGCCAAGTTGGATGGATCCGATTTTTAAGTTAGCTGAAACTTTTTTATTTTTGGTTCCAAATTTTACCTGGACTGCGATCTGAACCTTTGGTGGTTCTTTTGCAGAGCTCTCTCCTCTCTATCGAATGATATCCTAAGTCTGCGAAAACAAAAACAGCTCTTTTTATTTGAAAGGAATTTACTTTTGGAACAACTCTATAAAATGTGTTTTTACCATGAAACTCATGTTTTTTGTTTAGGAAATGAAGATTAAAGCAATTTTTTCAAAATCTTGTTTCAAAGGAATAGTTCTACTTTTTTCTGCTTGGTGTCCAGGAAAGATAAAGATTTACAAGCAAAGGATTTTTGATCTTGCTGCGTCTTGTATTCAAAAGCCGTGAAATATATAGCCAATGAATATCTTGTATGTGACCCTAGAAAATTATTGCATATTTTTGCTTGATGAAGTTTAAGACCTCGTACACTCCACTCAGATATGTTGAGTTGATTCGGCAATCACAAATTATTCGAATTTTCCTAAAAGAAATTCTTTTGATCCTTCACACACGAACTGCAGGACGATTACTGAACACCCCCTTCCGAAGCCTCGAAATTGATCTCCAGGTCGGAAAGTTCAGAAGTAACCAGATAGAACATTTTCGAAGCATCCGGCAAACATCTGGTTTCTCTAATTAAGTCATCAATGTACAGCATTACCAACAAGCACGTGTTTCCCTGAGTTAAATGTAAACCCATATGGAACATCTAGCAGTACAAAGCGCCTGCATATGGCGTGGTCACAAATTGCTCGTTTCAATCACCTGTGCAGTGTTCCAGCAATGTGGGCACTTTGTTTTGTTTAACAAACTTATACCATGCTTCTGAGTGAGTTATGACTTTGGCATGTGGATATAAAGTTGAATTCTGTACGGAATTTTTGCCTTTGTGAATTGTCTCTCGGCAACGCTACCGCTTCTCCCTTGAGCCCAGTAACGCCACTTGTTACCATAATGAAAACGTGGTGAATTCTTTTATGTGACTGACTTTTCGCGTTTTCGTTTTCGTAAAGTATACAACAGTTGTAGATATGAGGTTGGCGCAAAGTTTTCGACACTGCATTTCGATAAAGTTCTTTTTCGTTATAAGCACTGATCGGGGCATGTTGCACACCATGGGATATGGGAATCAATCTCCACAAAATTTTGGGTAAACACAAGCATCTTCATGTTATCTCTGAAACGTAAAGGCCAAGTCCACTAAATCTAACCCTCTCCGATTGAAGCCGGTTCTGAAGGCATCAGGAGGAGAACATCTGCGTTGGTGCGGTCCTCTGATGCTGTCTTTGAATAGAGATAATGGATCTGGAACAGCGAAAGTGCTATCAAACCACGCCCAGATCCTACCAAGCTCCGCCCATTCAAGTACTGAATTCCGTCTTGTTTTCAGGACAGGGCCCCCAGTAATCGGGTTTTTTCGGGTGTTTGCACATTTTGAAGTTCAAATCTGTAATCAGGGTCACGAGGCCCCAGAGGGACAAAAACATGGGAGGCCAAATTTGGGTGGACGCTGCCCTTAAAGCGGAGTATGTATTACTTATTTATATGGAGTTTGACTCAAACATTAAGAAGAACGAGCCAATCGAACACTGGCAAACTCCGCTCCCCATCAATCGTAGGCAAATTTCCACATGATAATATGTACATGCTTAGATTTCGGGAATTAACAGATTTGAGCTAAAGATGTCCGAGAACTTTCGAGCAAACTCAATATGAATGTCAGTTGTGGTAAAGAGTTCATCCCGGGTAAGTGTCCACAGGAAATTTTGGATTGACAACAGGATAAGTTTTTTCTTTTGCGATCTTTCGGGCATTCATAGGTTTCATTGAATTCTTGCTTTCTTATGCGTATCAAACTTGTCGTAAATTTCAAACGAAGTCTTGTAGAGCATGCTTAACGATACCCGCAATTTACTAGGAATCTAAGAAGTATATGACTTATTACGGTAAAGAATGAGATTTGAAGTAAGAAATATTGTTCAACTTTGGTCGCTTATTAGTCTCGGCCTTAAATACATTGGCCATTATGGGACAATTTATTGGGTTGATACACAAGTTTTGTTACTCTTTTTTCATATTCATCTGCGAATACTTAAGAATTCGGCAAGGTTTCGTATGGCGTACAAGGGGAAGACATATATAATTTTGGTCTAGGGAATTTGCAGAACATTTTTTTTGGATAGCTGTAGTAACTCCAATTTCAAAGATTGTGTGATACAATATAATTCAAAAAAAGAGTTCTTTGTGATGCTCAAACTAGAAACTTTTTGGCACATCTAGAGGTACAAATAGATCAAGAAAATATAAGACTTGAATCTTTTGTTAAAGATGCTGAGTTCCAATATTTTGCCATATGCAGCATATTCTATCGTTATTGCATGCGTAACACCGATAATATCTGATAAATTAAAATTTATATACTTTTATCCCACCTTTGCTTATATATTTATGTATATAGTAAAAAACAGTATACGGAACACGATATGTCTAAGAAACGCAAATACGTAATAATACGACCCTAAGCTTTATGGAATTTTTTGGAGGGATTTTTCGTGGGTTACTTCCGAATCAACTTAACATAAAATACAAACCGTGTCATTTTCTTACGGCACAAATTTACACCGCCTTCGACAGATCTAAAACATATTAGGTTGTCCCGAAAGTTTTGTCGGTTTCTTTCATCGATCACTGAAACTCACAGAACACCAATCCATGGGCAAGCTAGATACCATTTGATTCAGATTTTTATCCTCTTTCATACAGCTATATTTCCTCTCTGATCTACCCTGCCCTTGCGATGTTATCGCCATGGCTTTTTGAGCAGCTCAGCAGTAATGCCAAATCTTTCCTGAATTTCAAAAATTTTTGTACTAATGTTTTCAATGAGCGCTGGTTACTATTATGTAGAGAAAACCTTTGGCTACATTGTGTTTATTTTAGATTACATGGGCCACGTTTACCAAGTCCGTTATAATTAATCTTATATATAAAGCTGAATGTCTGTATGTCTGTATGTCTGTCTGTCTGTATGTCTGTACGTATGTGCGGAATAGAAATTTTTATTTCTGAACCGATTTGGACCAAACTTGGCACACATACACTTCGGGGCAGGGAGCGTGTTATAGTCCACTTTTCGTTATCGATCGATGTCGATTTTATCGATTTTTTGCAAAATTTGAGCTAGGGGGCTGGGATTTTGCACAGGGGGGTAATCGAGCATGCTGATCACCCCGGGCGGAGCCGGGTTTGCCATCTAGTTATTTAATAAAAGCCGCGACTTTTTGATTACATTTACCACGTACAAATACCGAAAATTCCAAAAAGCTGCTTTTTCAAGGCAAATCAAACTTGGTCATGTTGCATAAATAATGTTTAATAAGAATCATTTTTCAATTCGGAGAAACCTTGAATATTCCGTGAATTTGCTGCAGTTGCGTGTTTCATGACTTTGCCAAAAATCGAGACCTCTTAAGAAATAATTTTTTCAAGGCATAAACAGTAGATTAGGAGAATCTAAAAACGTGGCCTTCTAGTCCGAGAATTGCTCTATTAGAATCATACTTGACCATATTGGAAACTTTAGAACGAAATTTTTAAAAATTACCCGATCTTTGACCAAATAAAATTGGCGGATGGAGAATTTTAACAAATATCGAAAAAAGCATACAAGGTTGTGGCTCGAGAAGGTATCCATAAGAAAGAGAAGGAAAAGCTGCATCGAATGCACATTGAAGCTCGCTCAGGTGTTTATTGTGCATGGTTTTGTAGTGGTTTGAAAAAACCGACAAAACTTTCGGGACAACCTAATATTTCAGTCTCCGTCATTGTTGGGATTACTTTCTCAGCTCGGCTACGCACGTCTGCAGGGCGTGACGAGGACGAGACTACGCTCAAGTACCCGCATTGAGCAAAGCTTTTTCTCAAAGAGTGGCTTGGACTCTGCAAATGATGTGAAGAGCCTGCAAGATCGCTGTGAATCGCTGATCTAGGACGAGGATAATGGTGGATTTGTTTGCCGTTTTTTTGTTACATAAAATTCTGGAGGGTTTCCATTCAATCCTTCTTAGTCTATTTCTCTTAGTATATGATTTCTATGTCTGAGCAATTCAAGGGGCACTTGTCCATATCAATAAAAAATGAAGAAGTTGTACAATTTTTTCGAGTGCATCACTTTTTGCTTCTATATGCACTTTTTCTTCGTAGGCATACGTAGCAGTTAAGGTACAGTACTTCAGAAAACTGTTTTTTTACTTTTGGTTTACTCTCACAATGGGCAAGACTTCATAGCCAGAGTGGTGGCTTTTTTTATTGTTTATAGTTAAAACTGCTCAAAAGGGAGAAACTATTGCCTGGACTGTGTCGTTAGAGCGTCCTAACCGAAATTCAGTTGTATGAAATATTCCTTCCAAAATTTGGTCACGAAACCACTGCTTATCATTCTGTACGGATCACTCACTACGAAGCGTTCCCATAAAATAGAGAAAGAACAACAGATTGCTTGTCTCAAAAGGCTTTTCCTTCATGATCTTCCCACAACAGCTATTTTTGCAGGGTAGATGTGATCTCAAAATCATAATTGCCTTTTTTAAGGTTTCAGGTCTGTCATTCCCTGCTCCATTGTCTCCTTTTCCCGTCATTCTCTTCCACGCAATCAGTCAGTAATCGTTCTCAAAGAAGATGTCATGTCCCCAAATCACAACAGTCTTCATTTTACAAAGTCTTAGGGTCAAGAACTCGCATTATGCTTTATGTTTGCACTCACACTTGATACATCACTTCTTCAAAACCTCACGAGCGTCGTGTGACAACTGATCTCAGCACTTGTAATATTGGTCCTTCGCGATTTGAGCTCTATGACGTAGGACTCGGCGCACGTGTGACGGTTGCCATAACAAAGCAGTTGTTCAGCATTGTCGGAGTAGTAAACCAAGCGATTTCGCATCCGAAATGACTCATGAAAATTTTTTTAATACATCTTCAACCAGCTGATACGCACACAGGTCTTGGTTCTTGGACTATTCTTTTTCGCAGAGCAAGTCTAGGGTTCTGTGGGCAATGTCCAAGTATTGAGTTGTCCCAAAAGTAAACCGTATTCCCGAATAAATAAAAATGATTTTGTTTTTCTAGCAGGCTTAGAGTACCATCCGATAGAGCGAGGCAAGCTCTGCAAAATGACCACCGAAGATCCGCCTAAGTCGTAATCCAGAAGTTTGGAGCAAAAATTGAAAAAAAATCTTATTTCCTGAAAACTGGATTTTTTGCGAAAAATCCTACGGACCTCAACTTGGTCATTATACAGCAGTTACATAGTAGTAATCAAATATGCCTTTACTGGATTTTTCCCGCGCATAGGAAATGGGAAAAAAGATAGTTAAAAAATGGCAAACTCCGCCAGCTCTTTCAACAAATGTCATTTTATACCACAAGCTTTACTAAGTTAAACTTAAAATTTTACCTCTGTTTGTGCTTTGTTGGTCGAGAAATATAGAGTTTTACATGAAAAACCCGAAAAAAGCGGCATTTTGGCATTTTTGGAACATCTTTGCTTCTCAGTTTTGAGCCCCTAAGAAAGTTCAACAAATACATTTTTGGGTACTATAATGTGTCTACTGTATAATGACCAAGCAGGAGGTCCGTAGGAATTTTGTAAGGATATCTGATTTTTGGGGTAGTTGAATATTTTTGCTTTTTGGATCAAAATTTCGCTTGGATCATGACTTAGAAGGGCCTTTGGTGGTCATTTTATAGAGCCCGCTTTGCTCTATTGAATGCTGCCCTAAATCTGGTAGGAATATAAAAGCTGTTTGATTTATTTAGAAATACGGTTTAGTTTTGGGAGAACCTAATAAATCCAGGGGTACTTGGGCTTAGTACCTGTTTCTAATTGGGAGCCTTGGTCTAGCACGCCCAAGCGGCAGCTCATATGATTCATTTGTAGTAGAGAAATTCAACTCTATGCTTTTGCCTAGACAGTACCCTTTCGGCGTACCGTACTCAAGACCCTGGACGACCTTGATCAACGAATGAGATTTAGCTTAACGCTTAGATTTTTTCCATTCCGATTAATTAAATCTTGATATCACATGTGAATTTCTTTTAGGCAGTGTTTCCATAAATAAAATTGAAATAGAGGTTCGGAATGAGCGCAGAGAAAATTTATTTTATTCTGGACTTTCCTTTCCTGGATTATTCTTATATTTACCAAAAAAAAACTTGACGAAGCATATGGGCCGCGGTAGGTGTCCCTCACAGTATCCTATGATTGGTGCAGAAAACGATGAGCGGGGGGGGGGGGATTGGGGGAAGGGTAAGGAGAGGGGAGATTTGTTAGACACGAAACTCGTGCAGAGTATAATGAGAAAGAGATTCTGGTGGACGAGTTCATCCGCTGTTATTGTCATTGTTTCATCAAAAATCGACCGATCAAGCAGACACCTCGTCCTTCGGTTCTAATGTTAGTCAACTCTAGATCATTCGCTTGTGAAAAGTGCTTGCACCTCGATCTGATAAAGTGCGTTTTTTGTTAAGTTCACTGACCCGATCAACTCGATCATGCTGACTCGTGCACTTAGTATTTTTTTGCGAATCCATTAGTGTGTCGGGTCGCTTTACACACACATCATCTTGGTCTAGGCGGAGTTTAGAGATCGCAACTCAGCCGGTTCACACTTGTGGACCCATCTCTCGCGCTGTTCCGAATGGAACAGCCATCTAGGTCTCAAATTTCATCCGGGACTCTCGTGCATTATCGTTTTGGCTTAACTATAGTTGATTCGCAAAAAAAATTTCTTCTTTCAGAATATGCGACCTTTACCAGATGGCTGCCAGAAGCCACTCGACAGGGACTCGTTTCTGACCGAGTTCAAAACCGACGCTTACCTGGATGTATGTTCTACTCGTAAATAAAAAACAACATCGAAATATTAAATGTTCTTTTAGGATTTTTACACCAGAGTGGATGATAACGCTATGAAAATGGTCTTAGCGTTTTTGCCAAATATCGTAGCAAGAATTGGTGAAGTGGGCAGGGTTCTTGATTTCGGAGCTGGACCTACGATCCATGTTGCCGCCTCGTTTCGAAATACGGCTTCAGAGGTAATAAACTATAATTCCCTAGACCATGCATTAGGGCTCTTTATTTTCTTCATCGAAAAGAAAAATATATTGAAAAACGTACACTACAAAATTCTTCATTTGCAGAAATCTTTTCATAAAAAATTTCGTGCACATCAGTGCCTAACTGAGAAGCTATCCCGTCATATTTTATTCCAGATATATCTGGCTGACTACCTTCCGCAGAACCGAGAAGAACTTGTGCGATGGTGTGAAGGAAAATCAGGCTTCAACTGGTCTGTACCACTGAAAATGATACTTACTCAAGAAGGAAATCCACTTGACGACTTGAATGAGATGATTATTCTAACGAGAAAAAAGGTGAGTTCAAAAAACCTATCAAGACTAGAGGTTGTACGAACCATCAATAAATTTTCGTATTGGTCTCACCTAAATTTACGCTAGAAAAAGTTTACAATTTTTTTCGAAAGAGTCATATTTTTCAAACTTTTGATGGCTTGCGAAATTTGCTGTTAGTTGCATTTGCAAGCCTCAAATCCAAAGCTGGCTGATTCAAAGCAGAGCAATCAGATTAATTATTTGTTGCAGATCCATGGAGTGTTTCACTGTAATTGCCTGACTAGCCCCTCCGTCGAAGTTTCTCGACGACTGCAAAATAATTTTGACGTGAGTATATTTATAGCACTTCAATTCATTTCCCACCTTGCCACAAGGACTTTAGTGCTAATTAGGCTGAATCTCTAATTTCAGGTTGTAGTCACGATTTTCTGTGTTGAGTACTGCTGTAATACGCTCGAAGAGTATAGAGCAGCAATAAAGAACATTGCCGATCAGGTCAAACCCGGAGGTGTGTACGATCTATTTTCATCTTGAAGCGTTTGTGGCGTAAGGAGTCAAGAACTACCTTATAGTAGCGTAAACTGAATTCTAATTACTCAATTAGAAAACTTTTGAAAAATCAGTGTCCTTACAAAGAAGAAATTCAGGCAAAGCTTTGATGCTAAACTTTTCGAAACTTTACTGCCAGTTGCGTTTGCAAGCCTTGAAATTCAAAGCTGGTTTATCCAAAGTAGAGAAAATTGATCAAATTAGTTCCAAAGTTGCACCACTGGGAGACAAATAAAAAAACATAGGATGCATAATCCATTCCAGCTCCGACTTGGTGTATTTCATACCCGTTCCTAGCATAAATGATGTGTTGTGCTGACTCGAACTTTCTTCATGATGTAACTTACATTATAATAGGAAACCAATGACGATCAAACTTGCTCAGCAATTGCTTCTGCTCATCAGATCCGCTCTATCCACTACGTGTTTTTTCCATAATAGATTTTCAATTTAGGCTTCAAAAACAAACTAAATTTGAAATTCAGTTTTTGAAAAGCCCCTTTCATGTCTCGTCTCTACAATAAAATCTAAACGCTTTTCCAAAAGAAATAAACATTTTTGAGATCACCTGATTTCGAACTGTTTGTGTTGCTAGAATGTAGAGTTACGCAGCCAAAAAATTACCGATCGCATTTCGTTTTGCTTTCATCTCGATTTGTTTAGGATATCTGGTGATGGGAGGAATTATGGAGGAAACGTGGTGTGCTTTTGGAGGTCGTACTTTCACATGTCTCTATATCACAAGTGAGGATCTGTTCTCTGCTTTGGAAGATAGCGGTTTAAGGGTAGAAGACGATCGTAAATGCGTATTCTACGAGATTGATGGCATGTATATGGTTTGCGCGAGAAAAACAACTGAAAGCTTGTGACTAAGCTAAAATGCTTACGTACATATTTTGATTCACTCACTTACATTGACGTTCAGACGTCTTCGCTATATGTTACCCTCCCCCTTTGTATCTTCGCTATTTAATTCTTTGTTCCTCCTGCAGCTAATGTACTATCATTGCATAAGAATTCGAGACCTTATAACTTTCCCTTCATTTCTTATCCAAATTGCACTGCTTCCTGTCGGGTAGAGGAGTTATGTCGCTTAAAGAGGAAATCCCAGGCTGATCTGCAACAGACCACGTGCCCATGCATGTCAATATCGATTTGTACCAGTTGTCTATCGGGGACATACTCCCTATACCTCCCTGTCCAATGTGTATATATACATTTACTCTTTAATCGCTACTGCTTTTATTCATGTTTGATATCTCATAATCACATCATATGAGTGTCTACACAAATCAGTCATAAATATTGGCCTCATAAAACTGTCGTCACAAAGTAATTTCTTCTTAGGTGTGTGAAGTTCACAAAATTAATGGCTCAAAAATAATGGCTAAATCATACCTTCAATACAGAGAGCAATGTACTCTGGTAACCTTCACTTTGAGCGCCTTTGTAGAACACAACCTTCACCTGGTGAAAAGAACACAAGTCATCCGAGGCGAATCCCCAGATATTCTGACATAACTGTTTGGAGTGTATGCGAATGAAGCAAGTATAATGAGTGATATCTAAAAAAGAGCTCGTAAACCGAAAGATTGCTTTTTTGTAGCCTTTTTAGGAAATGAAGGTTTTTATTCGAAAATTCCCTTGAAATTTGCGAAGACAGATCTCAGTTAACTTTTTTAGACTACGCTTGAGTGTTAGAAGTAGACGAGAGCTGTTGGAGTTTGATAAAAGCCAAAAAGCGCTCAAATGTTGCGAATAGAGTCGCCACTTGAATCCTGGTTTATTTCGTTATGGAGTAATTTTCAACACCCGCGACGTTTTCATTGTTCCTGGTCTTGTCATGAGATTCACAACGATGATAATGTTGCAGGGTTCGTTAAGATCCCGCCCAGATCCACGACCAGAGCTAAATGCCCCGCCGCTAGTTTGTCTCCCCTGCTCGCCTGCGGCTTCGCTTTGCGCGCTACCTCGCTACCTTGAATGCGGAGTACGGGGCATTTGGGTCTGGTACCCTTTTCTTAGTTGTTCTGAGCCCGGTGCGGCAAACTATATATAATATTGAAGCACTTAATCTCTACTTTCACGCTGACAGCGTCGCAAACCCCTTTATGATTTGTGCGAGAAATTTGGGAAAAGCGGTGTTTTCGGAAACCTCTCGCTTTTCCTTCAGTTCGAATCTTTTCACTTGATTTTTTCGTATACTCGATTGATCTTGCTTCTGTCTATGAAGTAAACAACGTCACAGAGCTTACTTTTTTGCTTATGCAGTTTTGGGAGTAAAAAGTGCATTTTTCTTTATCTTGTTCTCCTTTTCAATGCTTTCACAACAGATTTTTTCCAACATAGACGATATTTGATCAGAATGATGAGCGAAAGAATCCGGACAACTTCGCAGGATACAGGGGCGACAATGCGGGGATGGAAATTCAAAGGACGCATCAAAAATCAAAGTGACATTGTGCAACACATCTTTTCAGAAAAGAAAATTCGTGCTTGACATGTTCAATTCAGCTGTTGACGAGTTTCTTTTTTCGGTCTCCCAAATACCGCCACAGCTAAACAGTTGAATTGGGAAAGAACTTCGATTTGCTGCAATCATCTGGCAGGCCTGAAGAGGAAACCAGTGCGTAAAACCACCAAGAGGAAGGTTTCAAATTTGGCAGTGTGCTTAGCTCTGCTCGAAATTTACAGTTTTTCTGATTTGCTTCGTATCTCTCAACTTCCATCTATTTTTTTAAAACAATCTTCACTTTTTACAGGGGAGGAACATAAACGATTATTACCTCATCATACTTTTGTGATAAATTTTATTACTACAACCACCAAGCTGTAGCAGGCTTGTCTCTTACACAAACGCATCAAACATCAATGTATCTTCAGAATTTGAAATTTCAAAAACGGATAATAATTCGACATTATTTTTGCAAGGCCAGTGAGCGTTTACGAAATTGAAATATTGAATCTCGAATTTTCCGAGTGTAGTTTGAAGGCGTTCGGAAACAGTGATATTGGACTGCGAAGACTTCACGACAAAAAGAGAAAAGCATGTTGGGGATAAGAGCTGCATTGGATGACAACCAGGTTGTTTGCTGATTGTTGTTTCGTAAAGTTTAACTTGAGCAAGTGAATTTGATAGCAACAAAAAATTGACTTCAGAATCTTGAAAAACATAATATGAAAAAGTAAAAGCTGTTTTGTATCTTGCAGGGATAGCTTCATCAAAGCCTTACTTGGACTTCGAGGGGCTGCTATAGACTTTAGAAAATTGACCGTGGCAAATTTATGGATCGTAGCTTTTTGTCATTTTCTGAGAGCTCGCTGAATAAATTTTTCGCTGGGAAAGGATGAAGAGCATGAAGAGCAATCTGAGAGAGGGTACGCTCGCTTGCAGAAAGCGAAACTTTTTTCGGACCACCTAATATTAGGTTACTAGCTTCTTACCCGACTCCGTTCGGCCCTGTCAAAACACTGTATTAAAGGTCCCATCCCTATCCCTGTACAGCCTTTCCATATGCCCAATTCTACACTTCATTCCCGTTCCCTATGTTCTTTTCGCTCACATACCCCCCCCCCCTATGTCAACTCCCAGCCCCGTAGCTCGAACTTTGCAAAAAATCGATAAGATCCATAAAAGTAATCATAATCTGAAAACTAATATTGTATTCGGAATCGCCATGCTCACTTTCCCCCTGTGCCAACTCCCAGCCCCGTAGGTGAACTCTGCAAAAAAATTGACAAAAATCGATAAAATCGATATCGATCGATAACGAAAAGTAGCCTATGACACGCTCCCCGCCCCGAAGTGTATGTGTGCCAAGTTTGGTCCAAATCGGTTCAGAAACATAATTTTGTATTCCGCACATACGTACGTACAGAGAGAGACATACAGACATACAAGCTTTATATGTAAGATATATCATAAGTCTTGTTATACTTCAACTTCTTACGGCAATAACTCATGCATTCATATTCTCAATAGGCTCCAGGGTACCATTCAATAGAGCGAAACATGCTCTACAAGATGTTATGCAAAAGTTCTCATCAGTTTTGACTCACTAAGTTCATCCAGATTCTGAGTCGCCCTAAAGGCTTATAATTATAAATAAGGGAAATTCATATTTTCGAAAAAAAGTCTTACGGATCCTCAACTCGCTCAAATTGCACATCACATTAGACACTCATATGTACCGCTCACGTACTTTTTCACATCTAAAAGTCGTAAAAACAAAATTTTCATACAAAAACGGAGCGACGTTTTTCCACTCATGCACTCATGTAACTGTATATTACAAGCCCTTAGGCCTAAGGCATACCTCGCGCGATTCCGGTCGCTGCGCGATTTGGCACAACAGCAACTCTTCGTAATTAGTCGCTAATGCGCTATCTTTGGTCAGAACTTCATCCGTTTGCAACAATTTACACAATCTACCTGAATATGCCTCCGAGAAGCGCACACGTTAAATTTGTAGAAATCTGGCAAATCGCCAAGTCGCGTGAAAGTGGCGATTCGGCCGAATGGCGTGAGGTATGCCTTAGGCCTTAGGAGTATATCCGTAAATTTTCAGCTTTCCAAAGGGCCCAGTTTTCGAAAATTACCGAATTTAGTTCTCCTCACTCGATGTTCCAAGCTGAAATCAATATTTCTTAAAATCTAGGGTCTTCGAAAAGCTGAAAACTTAAGGTTATGCTTCAGGCCTCGGGCAGAGTTCACGCGATTTGATTGTCGCGATTCAGTCGCCGCGATTTTCATTCATTTTCATTTTACATCCGAAAATTTCGAGATGGAAAAGTATCACAACCGAAATGCAAGCTGATCGGCATGCAATGAACTCGTAACAGTTGTCTTGTAGCAACTGAATCGCGATGATCAAATCTCGTGAACTCTGTTCGAGGCCTAAGGGCTTGTACTATAAAATTACATGAGCGGGAACAGCGCAGTTCCAATTTGTGTAAGCACGAAAATTTTTGTTTTCTTGACTTCTAGATTAGAAAAAAATGCAGGAACGGTACATATACCGTCTGATCTGATGTGGTGTGCAATTTGTGTGAAAAAGTTGGGACCTGTGGCATTTTTTGGACGACGATATGAATTCTCCCCTATTTTTTGAGCCTTCGGTACGACTCAGATTCTGCATGCAAAATAGCGGTGGATCAAATGGGTCAAATCTTGTGCGAACATTTGCACACCACTTATAGAACTTGCTTTGCTCTATAGAATGGTACTCTGCAGTCCTATTGAAAATATGAAGTAAACGACTTTTCGACGATGTAAGAAATGAAAGTGTAACGAGACTTATGTTAACCTATTATTAGGTTGTAAAAGTTCTATCCTTTTATTTTTGAAACATTTTTGGAAATTCGTAACTTTTGGCTGTCTCAGTGGATTTGCTTCTTTCTAACTCCAGTAGAAAAAAGAATTCTTCTTCTTTGTAGAGGTATCTTGGCTATCTTCAACTATACATACATTGCGGAGATGAAAATGAGAAAAGAAGACCATTTAAAGGCAGCGTCCCGGCAGATTTTGCATCTCCATCTTATTGCATGTTTTGGGCCTTCTCGACCCGTAGATCCCGAATCTGAGCTCTGAAAGGGGTGAAAAGGCCTTTTTCGGGGCGTTTTTTTTTTCAATTTCCAAAAGGCAGCCCGGACGAGAATTTTTCAAAGGAAAGTCGGGAGGCCCTGGCACGAAGACCCTGGTGCCTGTAATTTTGGCTTTGTATAGCATGCACAATGCGGGAAAGCGGTTGGGGGTCCTGCGCCGTCTAGCGGAGAAAACTCGTCCGAACAAGGTGTTAGCGGAGCGAAAGTAAGAAGGGGAGCGGCGCTTGGGCCGCCCCCCTGCTTGCAGAGTTCACATTTTCGGCGCGGAGTTGCTGTTTTGGTTCACTTGGAGTTCCTTCTCCTATCCATCTGTGTCAAAATCTGAGGTAGGTCAATCTGCCGAGCCGCTGCCTTTAAGCTTTGACCATTTTGAGTTAGGTCGCCAAAATTCTGAAACGCCGCAAAAAATCTAAAATTGTCAGTATATAAGTTTTGCAACCTACTCTTTGCATCTAAAAGAAAATCATGCTGCTTGGACGTTTCAATGAAAAGTGAAGATTTTCGAGAAAAGCGACAAATCAATCAATTTTGGAGTTTTCTATTGTAAACTCGAAAATTACAAGTTTTCACAGAGACGTCCGAACAGCACATTTTTTCAGATGCAAGGAGTAAGTCATAGAACCCATGTCCAGGCAACTTTAGATTTTTCTGCAGCGTTCCAGGTTTTTGGCGATCTTTCTTAAAATAGTCAAAGCTCAAGTGGGCTTCTTTTTCCATTTTTGTCTCCGCAATGAAAGTACATATAATAGAAGTTCATTGAGACACTAATTAGAGAAAAACTTCATCTTTCTAATAAAATGAAAAAGTAGCAAATCCGGCGAGATAAAAGTTACAATCAAGGTCGAGCAAGAGGTGTGGCACACAAGCTCCAGATACCCCCCCCCCCCCATCTTCTGTCTCAATACTTCCCCCTCCCCCTCCATCTTCTCTTCCGTAGGCATGACATAAAGGCTGTACCATGCATAATTAGGCACATATTCGTAATTATCATGTCAAATAACCACCATGGGCCAAGTTTTAGCAAACTTTGAGGATTCCCAATGTTGGACCACCCATGCGAAGTGAACATTTTCGAAGATGATTAACTATATTTCAAAAGTGAATTAGCTAACTCTTTTTGTACTCAATATTAAGCACTGCACCCTGTTTTCCCATACCATGAATCCTGCTTCAAATAACCATCAAGCTATGGAATTAGAAGCAGGGCCAAAATCTCGTTTGTCTCAATTTTCGCTTTCAATGGCTGCGATTTCACCAGCTTTCACTCGGAGAGAGGAAGATGAATCAGGCCCAAATTACTCCTATAAAAACTACAAGACCGAGGCTATCAAACTATATGTATTTTGTTCGCTATAATTCATTTCGGAGGCAAGTTGATGGGGGGTGGCACAACCCCTAAAAAGCGGTGGTCTCCACACCTTTTTAGGGGTTGTGCCACACCCCATTAACTTGCCTTTAGAGCATTCAAATCTCTTCGTTTTTATATATTTGCTACTGCTAAACCTTCTTCTTTATACAGCAGGGATTTCATCCCAAATTGTTTCTCCTAAGGAAAGATATAGCCGTTTTCCTTAGAAGCAAATGGAAAACACCGCTAAAATATTGGATTACCGCAATATGCTAAGCCTGCGCTACTACGTAATCGCAAGGAAAGGCCGCAAGAACAAGTATATTCGATAGCCTGATCCTCGTAACTTTCACAAAAGTGAACTGGGCCTGATTGGTCTTTTCTAGTCGGAGAAATTAAAAGCGAAAAATGGGACAAACGAGATTTTGATTTGCTCTCAATTCCAGAGTTTGGAGATTGGTTGAAGTGGGATTCCTAATACGAACTAAGAAGTTGTAAGTACCTTGCATTGAGTTTAAAAAAGAAGTAGTTTATTCATTCTTGAAACAAAGTCATTATGTCGAAAATGACCACATCCCTCAGAGGTTATTTGACATGATAGTTACGAAGATGGTGCTCTTGTGCTTTTAGGTTTCTTTTAACATGCTTACTGTGCGTGTACGGCGGTAGGCCAAAACATCACTGCTGGTATTTTGTAGTGAGCCTATCAGACATTTGTCACTAACATCACTATCACATCGATAACGACCCCCTCCCCTCTTCCTGACCCCTCTATGACCCCTTGATTGTGGCGCGCCACACCCCACGCTTGACCCTGGTTACAATTTTCAAGAATGAAACAACAGAACTTTCGAAACAACCTGATACAATATCAACAACCTGATATTCCTCATTGACGTTCATACGTACTGTTCCTGTACATTTTCTTCAGCTAGCGAAAAACAAAAGTTTGAATACTTTTCCAAAGAATTGCTGAGTTGTTCCCATACCATTAGGTTGGCACATAAGTAATGTAACTTTTTATACAACTGTCTTTTTGAACGTATATCATGTAAACTTTGAACGCAGACATTTTTGCCGAGTTTTGCCATCTTATATAGGGGTCACGGTAGGTTGACGGTATAACGAGAAAATTTTTAAATTGCACCAGATTTGCTGAAACTTGGCCTATGGAGGTTTATTCAACATGCTAATCACAAAAGTGAGACTTTCTTCATGAAAAGTTACAATCACGCCAAAAAGCCAATCAGTGGTCTTGCTTCTAAAGTATGCAGTGTATACTTTCTAGCATGGAAAAGCTTAGCATTGCATTGGGAAAAGCAGCAGAGTTTGTCCTTTTCTAATCTATAAACGACGGAGGAATTCAAAAAAACTACATACATGAACTTCTATAATTTATAATGTACATATGTAAATCCATAGAAATATTTGAACGGGATAACGATTACATTTGAATGTTTCCTTTAGCTACAAATTTCGCATGGAAAGATGGAACAGACGTTAGGCATATCTCGTAGAGTCCCTCTGATCTATTAGGTTGTCCGGAAATTGGAAGGTTTTTTACACGGTCGCAGCAGTGGTCAGTATAAATGGGGAAGCATATCGTTCGATAGAGCAAAGAAACCTCTACAATACTGCATTTGAACGCTCGCCAGAAGGATCGACATGTAGTATGATCGAATACACAAAAATTAGATCTCCGTCTAAAAAGCTCCTGTGGACCTCTGACTTGGTCACGCATGTTCCCTACATTGAATATTTATGAGCACACTTACCACATTTTTACAACGACTGAAAACTGAAAATTCAAAAAGGACCAAACATGCGAAAATATCGCTTTTTTGGTTTTTTTATGCTGAATTCAGTATTTCTCGGAAACTAACCCCTGGGGAAGCTGAAAATCTATGGTTGTACTTCTAAAGGCTTGTTATATAGAACTATTAATGTCTGAATGACTCAGCATTGCATCTGCTAACATGCCAAATTTCGTTTTCTCAGTTTTAACCGTAGAAAAAAATATCGCAATTGTACAAATGAATGTTTGATGTGGACAGTATATGTCTGCAAGCTGGAAGTCCGCAGGATGTTTTGAACGAAAATGTGATTTTTAAGTTCTCTGGATTTTGCTTATAGTTTTCATATGGTTCAAACTCATTGGTATTATAATGTAGTATTGTAGAAGTTGCTTCGTTCTATTGAATAATATGCTTCCTACATTATCACGTCTACAATGCCGCGATGCAGTGAGGAATTTGCATCAATTTTCGGACAGCCTTGTAGAATGGTAGTTTGGAGCTTTGAAAGAGTATGGCCCGTAGTAAAGCTACCTCAGTCGTTCTCAACTGAATAAAATTTCAGTTGAGGCTTCGACGAGTCAGCTTGCCCTCAGTCGAGCGATTGATCGAAATCATAACACACATTTATAGGCTATCATGAAAAAGCCACATGCAATAACTGGTCGAAACATGCTTCACCTTAGTGCATAGGTTTTGACATCTAGAATCGAAATAGCGTGTTCAAACATGTTGAATGCTTCCATCTCTTTCAAATTTAACAATGCAAATGAACAGGAGATGCCCACAATTTGAGAGCCGGCAAACCGGCCAATGCGGAGGGAAGCACTAAATTCTCTGACACTCTATTTCACCCTAGTACTTCACCAAATCTTAGAATACTTCAGAGTCATGCGGTGACAGAAAGGCAGTTCAGAGAAAGAAACCGATGTCTTGTTGGCGGCTGCATGAAATAAGCGCAGGTTTCGACCCATGATATGGCAAGGCCTCTATCTCTGTTGTTATCGCCTTCTCAAGTCTTGAATTGAACTAGAATTTATCAATCAGAATCACGATGGTGGGTTGGTAGAGAAGGGAAGATACACGTGCCCCACATCCGGTAACGCCAACAAAAGATAGGTGAAGGCGGACAAAGACCAGTCTATGTTCCGATGCCCGTAGATGGCAGGTGCAAGAACAAAAGGGAAAAGGTTACTGTGCTGCGATTCACGTGTATTCCGTTTTCCGCCTGCCCCCAAAAATCAGGCTGCCTAATGATATCGCCTGCTAAAAGATACATTTGTTCAATGAAACGACCAACGAAATTATCTTCATTTGGGGAAGTAAAGTAACGTTTCAAGACCGAGTATAGAGCACAATAGAAGACGATAAAAAAAGCTCCAAGTGATTTTTGACGTCCCGCTACTCAAACGCGAAATTTAGTTTGCTAGTGTGAAACAGTAGCTGATTGAAGAATTCGGACCCTAAAATGAAAAATTAGAGCCACTTGCTGAAGCAGTAGTGGTGCAAGTTACCAACATAGTCCTTCCTTGGTCAGCCTACACACGAAAAAACCAGTGAACGAATTAGTGAGCGAATGAAAAGGTACAGATAAACAAAGAGACAAAGAGGATGCGAATCAAAAAAAAACATATTTGTCTTGAATTTTGTAATCGTGAGTCACAAAGCATGAGTTTACATGATACAGCATAAGTTTTTTTACAGTTACCAAACGCTGCAAAGGCGTGAAGACGCCGCGACTCTCGTAATGGTGGAGGCTTTGAATTCCATGGCTTTCTGTTGAGATCCCGCGAGAAATTTACTCAGTCGAACCACATTTTCCTGCAAGAAACTATGGCAAGAAAATCAGCTTAAGAATTCAAAAAAATTTTTGCAACATTACTGACCTTCCATTTTCCTGAAACTTCTTTGAAACAGCAGAAGATTCAACCAGAACTTGTTGTGCGACAGAGAATTACCCAGCTAAGAAAGGCTATTGAATAGTGAACTACAACATGGTGCCATAGTTGCCACATTACCCGATCCCGACTGAATGTGAATTTAGATCGGGATCACGGGACTTGCGCTGACAACCGCCACCGTGCTAAAGAAGTCACGATAGGCAAATCGAGGGCGCCGCATGCGATGAGTAACTGCTCAGACAGTCGAAGGGATACCTCGGGAGCAAAAAAAGGGTCCCGGGCTCTGCCCAGCGGGGGTTTGCCACTCGTGCTCCGAGGCCCTCCCATTTCACCCATCTTGGTGTTCCGAGCTCCTCCAAATCTGGCGCACCGTTCCATTCGTTCCATTCGCCTTCTTGTGACGTCACGGTGACGTCACAAGGAGGCGAATGGGACTCCCCGGGGCTCGCAAATCTCAGCTCGGGGGTGCGCCAGGTTTGGAGGAGCTCGGAGCACCAAGATGGGTGAAATGGGAGGGCCCCGGAGCACGAGTAGCAAACCCCCGCTGGGCAGAGCCCGGGACCCTCCCATTTTCGCTCCGGAGGTATCCCTTCGACTGTCTGATGGAAGAATGCGGCAGCCGATCCGGAGTTGATAGGGATTAGGTGGGAATCCACAAGCAATTATGGCACACCCAGGAAATGGTACGCTAACAGAAAGGTGTAAGATAAAGTCAACGGTAACTAAGAAGAAAAACTGAACAAAAGCCACATTCATATGCCGTCAAGTTTCAGATAACTCCCGCAAGGTGTACCATTACGAAACACAAAATTTCGAACATGAAAATGAATGTGAAAAAGAAGCTTGGCAACACTATGAAATGACTTTGGATGTTTTGCGATCTTTTCCACCATAAGATATTCAATCGCATTAAGAAAATTGCTCAAAAAGAATGTTGTGAATGCAGCGTTGGGTTGCCTATAGCAAAAAACGATTGCAAGAAGCGGGATAGTAATGATACGCACCCTCCCCCATATTATCCTTGAGCCATTTTCAGGGGTTCCTTCATAACACGCAGCAGGACCGAGGTGCTGCGGCAGGCTGCTGCGTCCTGCGGCATATTATGAAGGAACCATAGAGAACATCAGCACTTTGCTTCCTCAAGGAAAGAAAAAAGGTGATGTCGAGTAGAAGAATAAAAAAGGATGGCTAATAAAAAACCATTGGGATGCTAATCTGTCCTCATTGTTATTCGACAATACGTTCCAAGCATCACCCATCATGCCTTTTTGGCCAGACTCGAGATCCCCATGCTTAGGCGTTTCTCTCCGATTATCCACGTCCTAAATAAGATCAAATTATAGCTATGAAGTCAAGTGAAATAAGTTGTAATAGTCTAACTACAAGAGCCACCAGAAAGAAAGTTCCTTCAACAGATGGGTGGTGTCGAAAAGGTGCGAATTCGCCAAAACAACATTTGTCACTAACAAGAATTAATGCTAATTCTTTATCAGAGAAATCTTGTGCGCCTTGCAATGCACAACTACTATTTCTACTATGTTTTTACATACTAAGAAGTGAGAGTACATATAGCGGCATCCAAGATATTGACTATTAATGGAACATTGAAAGTAAAGGGCCAATGATGTTTCTGTATTCTCACCTTCGAAATGAGAAAGGCATCTTTTCATTTGGCAGCAACAAGTTGTAGTTGCTTGAAAAGCGTAAAACAGTTTGTTTTCGTACATTTGGAATTTGATTAGAAAAACAGTAAAACAGAGCTTGATAGTAAAGTCGTTTACAGATGTATTTGCAATCTTGGCTTTGTTAATTGATACCCAAACCGGATATGTAAGCACAAAATCAAAATGCAAGGCCTCTTCAGCAAAGCTCTGGGTTTTTGCTTTCCTCATCTATGGGTAGGAAAAGAAGCGAAGAAACTATGTGTGAGGAAAGCCTGTCTATTCACCAAAAGGGGTTTCTCAAAAATAATGTAGTCTGATAGAACAGACTGCGAGCAACATCGAATTGAACGTCATATTTAAAAAAGATATTCGAAGTTGGAAAAAGAATAGGAGAAAAGAGAGAGGGTAACGTGTGAACGTACCTTTTTGACAGCTACGCACTCTGTCTGCACGATCATCATGAATACGACGCAATTCTAAAAACAGAGTAGTGACGCAACGAAATTATCGTAACATTCTTCTATGATTACGTTTATTTGAAGACTTTATCACTATTTCGCCCCCCACTAGCGCTACAATTCCTAGGCAGATGATGTACCCAAGCTTACAATTGGATGCATTTTTGGGGTCTGGTGCTTTTTATTGAGTTGAATGGGCAATCCTACGACGTCCAGACAATTCTAAAACCGGCAAAAGAAGCCTTACAGTGAAAAGCAAGTTTCTACACTCGTTTTCCAACCATAATTGCCTGGATAAAATTACCTGTGCCCAAGTATGGCTCTTATCGTATGAAAACACAAAATCATCCGTCACGATTTGCCATTAGTCCTCTGAAAGAAAAAGGATAACGTTTTAGATGAACACAGAAGCAAGCACAGGAGCTGGACATCGCAAAAACTGGAAACGCGACGAGGTGCACAATGATAATAAAGCAGCAAGTTTTCAAAGAAATCCGTCCCTTAGAAAAGAAAAAGCCTTGCTACCTTATTACAAACAGCTAAGCTCTGTCATCAAAGGACCTGGCTGTCACTATATGCAGTCGTAGTATGAGCATAATTAGTGGCAGTGTCCCTATTTACAGCTCCTTGAATATGCCAACAAGAGAAATTGACTAACGAAGTTTCAATTTAACACAATCACAACACAAATCACATAACTGTGAGCAGAAAACATTTAAAAGCGTTTTTTTGAATGAAATTTTCGATGGAAGGAAGAGAAAGTTATCGTAAAGCACATGTCCTAACGCTATCTTGGATCAGCACATGCAGAAAAAGGGATGAAACGAAAGAAAGAACAAAATAAAAAGCGGAATCCGCGCGTTGGCTTGTGAGGAAGGTTTTGTGCAGTTTTCCGTTAAGTTTTTCTGCATTGTTAGGCAAATTATGATGTTTTGTAAGTTACTCAGGAGTAACTTACGAGAAGTTTCTCTGCGTATCATCATTGGTACACTATTTACATTGATTGGTAGTCTAACTGAATGTGGACTGACTGAAGTAAGGTAGACTACCTCGTCAGGTAGACGGACGGTCAGCTGAAATTTCATTTTGCATTCTTACAGCATGGGAAGCTGGTGATAGGCAGTCTACCTTACCGCATCTCGGATGAGGGCCTCAGTTCAGTTCACCTGAGCTGAATTAGCTTTACTATGGGCCTATGACTTATTGAGGTTTTGACTAACTTTGACGCAGACTTACAACAATCTCTTGCTTTTACACATTCACCAAAAATGTACCAAATATTTTAGGTTGTAAGTTCCGTTCGAAGTAGTGATCATTGAATTTGCCTTTTCTTGTATGATGGTCCTGCCAACATTTCTCGAAAGATTCCGAAGGAATACTTACAAGGGAAGGATACCAACTTAGATTCGCCTTTCGAGATGATACACATACATTTGGAATCAGCTTTGAACGCTGATTCCAAAATGCTGTTCCTAGCTGCTTAGCACCTCTGAAGCGAGTTATGGGGTTGCTGTTGTGCGTAATTAACAAGCTTCTGAATGTCGCAAAACGATGTGGAGATAAGAACCTTCTTGAAAAAAGTGCTAGGATGTTAAATAGCATCAGATTGATTTGTTCGATCTTGAAACGAGCATCATACAGTTGCAAAACCACTAAGACGTCGACACCATAGCATCTAGGCCGAGAAGCAAGCAAACTTTGCGTAGAAAAGAGACCATAACTTGCTTCAGAATAAGGTAGAGCCGCTAGGATTATCATATTTGGCATCAGCGTTCCAAACTGATCCCAAATATATGAGGTTGTCGAAAGTTGTGTCCGTTTTTTTTCATTGGTTACTAAAACTCACAGAATATATGTCCATGGACGAATTGGGTACTACTTGACTCAGATTTTTATCCTCTTTCTTACACTTTCTTACGCTGTACTTGCTCTCTAATCTACCCTGTCTTTGCAAAGTTATCGGCACGGGTTTTTGAGCAGCTCAGCAGTAACCCAAATATTTACTGAATTTAAAAAATCTTTATCCTTATGTTTACAAAGAGCACTGACAGCTGTTAGGTAAAGCAAACCTTTGGCTACATTGTGCCCATTTTAGATTACATAAGCCACGTTTACTAAGTTTGTTATAACTACTTATTTAATAGAAACCGTGGCTTTTTGATTACGTTTATCACGTAAAAGCACCAGAAATTCCAAAAGGCTGCTTTTTTAAAGCAAATCAAACTTGGTTATGTTGCATAAAATGTTTAATAAGGACCATGTTTTATTAGGGTGAACGGTAAAAAATGGGACAGCTTGATTTTCATTACATTTTACAATTTTTTGTTTTTGGCAACAGCAAGTAAGCACCAATTTAAACGTCGCTCACATGGGCGACCTTCGCTTATTATTCTGATAACGCGTTAACGCTCCTCTTCCGCTACCCTACACGTGGCGCCGTGAAGAACTCGAACAGGGTTTTTTGGACAATCCTCAATCTTGCGCTGTTATACCGTAAAGTCGTAAAGCAAATGACATACCATTCGAAAGAGCTCTTCATGCTCTTTCGAATGATACGTTAAATGCATGAGATTTCTTTTCAATTTCAGAAAAAAATCGAAAAAACCTGAAAAATAGCTATTTTTGGCGCAACAAAAGACCAAAAAATCATGTTTTGCCCTATATTTTCCAAAGATAAATAAAATCTGAAGTAAACTGCATATGGATGGATAGAGCGTAAAGAGCTCTATCAGATGATACCTAGAAACCGTGCGTTTACCTGCAAAGAATTGAATAACGCGTATCTTTGTTCTCGAAGTTGTTGATGGGCATATCTCCTGACATTGAGAGTTAAAGCCACCAAGCCGTCGTGGGTTTGGTGACTGTCCCACCACTCACTCCAGCAGTGGTACTTTGGGTGGTCTCACATGTTTCACTGCGCCGATACTGCTTAAACTTCATAATTTCTCGAAGTAACTAACTTTGCATTTTAGCAATTATAAAAATTATCAATTATTTAAATGACCTTATATAGGTGCTATCTGAAAGAGAATAATTTATTCTAATATCCATCAAAATTGGAAAGTTCAGTCACCTTTATTCCTTGAGAAATCTGCAATTATTCTCAAGGTGTCCCATTTTTTACCGTTCACCCTAATAATTCGCTGAACTTCAAAAGCTTTCTTATATTTGCTGCAGTTGCGTGTTTCATGACTTAGCCAAACAAGATCTCAGAAGAAATAATTTTTCGAAACCAAAGACAGCAGATTAAAAAAATCTAAACATATCACATATAGTCCGAGAATTGCTCTATTTGATGCATGCTTAAACCTTTCCCGAACTTTGGAATGAAATCCCGAAAAATTAGCCTAACTTGGGGCAAATAAAATTGACGGGTGGGGAATTTTGGCAATTATCAAAAGAAGTATACAAGATTTTTTTTTTTCGAAAATATAATATATCCTTAAGAAAGGGAAGGAAAAGCTGTATCGAATAAATGCTAAAACTCATTCCGGTACTTATTGCGCGTGGTTTTATAATGGTTTGAAAAAACGGACAAAACTTTCGGGATAACCTAATATGTGTCTCATCTTAGAAGGCGAATCTAAGTTAGTGTCCTTCTCTTGTTAGAGTGGACACGATCAAAAGTATGGGATTAAACTTTGGCGACTTATCAAGCAATCACGAAAGGGTTATTTCGACGTGGTTGGAAGAAGAAAAGCTGCATAGATTATACTACTGCTTTTCTATGATTGTAGTGATTTGCTAATGTTACATACTTTCAAAAAATGGCGGTGTTTTCGCAACGAGTAGATACGTCCTGCAGTTGATCAGAGCGCATATATAAGACCTGCTTTTACTATTGCCTACACACCTCGTTGCTATCAACATTGGCTATTAGTTTGTGTGATCAAATCACATTTGAGTACCTGCTTTGAGACTTGGCGCTAAAGACATTTATTATCAAAAAAATAAGAGGAGTAAGATAAGGTGTAAAAAAGAGCACAAACTTAAAAAGAGCACAAACTTAACAAAAGGCAAATATTGTCTGCCAGTGCAAAGTAAAAGTACAATATTTGCTCGAAGCAAAAATCAAAGAAGGGCACTGCTGAAACTAAGTAAAAATGTTTGTCTTTATTGTTCTAGTATTCACAACAGTACTCGTACTCGCTACAATGTAAAGAATGGACAATATACCAAGCGATTACGCATGGAAACTGTCCTTGTCTAATTCAACTAACAGGTACTCCGACAGTGCTAGGATGCTTGATTCTCGATTGATAAGTTGGGTCTCTAATACTGCGAATGAATAGACCAATTATACTCTTCCTTAGCGGAGCTACAACCAGAATTGTCACTACGACATTCGTGAAAGGAATCCATAGCATCGATGTAAAGCACAACAATCGCACCATCGCGTAATTCTCATAGATCTGTGTAAATATTAGTGAGTGAAAATGCTCTACATACATGGGAAGAACCCTCATTCATTGAGCCACATGTGACTCCTTTCTTCACGTACCCCGCCACTGCGAAAGTAAAAAAGCATAGTATTTGATAGTTCGGCTCCAAGAACTGAAAGAAGGCAACCGCACAGAATTAAAATGTTTTTTTCTTTGCGATTTCTAGAATGGATTACGTAAATTCCTTGTTTGCGAAACAAACATTACCAAGGCGAAACACAACAAAAACTTACGCTTTGCTTTTACTGTAAAGAAAAGAAACAGATAGCCAGATACACAAAGTGCGAAATCAACACCTCGATAAGTTATTCCAAGAAGGAATAGGACCTAATTTTCTTTCTTACATGCTTTTTCAAATTTTTTATAGGAAGTCACCTTATCGTAATTTGCATTGGTGCTAGACAGCGAAACTCGGTCATGATCTACGACATAGTGGAAATCAAAAATCGAATACAATGGGCTCACTGTCACAGTAGGAAGAAGAACTTGTAGTGCAAGTATCTTCCACTTATCAATTTTTTCAGCAGTCTGTAATCAAAATTCAGTACTTCACCAAAAACTCAATCATGGATGACTATAAACTCACAGCGGTAACACGCGAACGTGGTAAGCAGACAGTACAGATACGTCCTCCAACGGTCAAAATTATGTTCATAATTTGTATGTGCACGATTAACTCTTGAGTGTTCTCCGCAAACTTTGTAAACCATGGATAACGATTCATATATACAAACATTGAAGTGATGGTTGGAAAGAATCTTGTATAGATAGTTGTTAGAAAAAATATAAAAGTGAACAAATTGATGAAATCCTGAAAACCCTGCAAAGCCGCGTCGTTTTAGACATATGTCGGGAAATAATTCCAACCAAATTGGGTCTACATATGATTCCATAATCTGTCAGATGTCTACAATCCCTCTTATAAATTTCCACAAATGTTCTCAAAGTGCCTTACAAGATCATGCAGCTATCAGAGTCAAGTCCACTGAAGGTACTGAAGGTTTAAGACATTGAAAAAATCAAGTACTTCGTTCCACCAGCATTTGTAATAAAAAGTTTCGTGACGGCTAGACCGCCGTTCTTGCCACATAATAATAAGTACAGCACAACATAAAAGGAAAGTAAATAGCACTAGAACACCTATTGAATACAAGGCAATGCTCAGCATCTAGAAATTGAGGAAAGCGAGCTTAGCATGTTACATTCCTTTGAATAATAATCAGGGCTCGGCACGAGGTGGCTAGTTGAAAATGCAAAAAACGAAGTCCCTCTTGACTTTTGCGAATTTTTACGAAGTCCCCTTTGACCCTAAACAAGGGCTCGGCACGAGGTGGCGTCCCAAAACTGCAAAAAATCAAGTCCCCTATGACTTCAACGAAATTACGACATCCGCCACGAGATATCCGAAGAGAAAATACCATAAGAACGGAACAAAGCAACAGCAGAAAAAAAAACGAAAAAGAATCATCGAACACACGCGATGATATTCATATTCTCCGGATTGGCGGCATGATGTATCCATCGTGCAGCAATACGCGCCTAGAGCAGCCTTTCCGCAGCCGCTCAAAATTTTCAAGGGGCTATAACAAAGCGGGGAGAAGGGGGTTTGAGGCGGTTTAAGAACCAGTTTGTAGGGTTTGGGATGTAGATGAAAATTATGTAAAGAAAGTAGAAAAATTATGTGAGGGAGAGAAAATTTATGACTTTTTCTTTTCTAAGCCACCTCAGGTGGCTATCCAGGTGGCTTGAAAGCCACCTAACTCCGAAAAAAGTTGAGCACGCCTTTAGTTCACATAATTTTTTCATAATTTTTCATACTTAGTCCTAACTTCCCATTGCCCATCTATACACCTATTTTGGTGTCATTTCATCTTCACTTCGCTGTAAACAAACCTTTTGTTTATTTGCCGGCGGCATGCCGGCAGCGTGGCGGCCGCAGATCAAAAGACAACGCTATGCTCTTCCGCAAAAACGATATCCCCTTTGTTTTTTCCCCAGAAACGATATCCAGCTTGCTTGCTAAGCCACCTGTGCCGTGCCCTGATAATAATATGAAATCAGTGAGTCACATTTTGCTTTGAGAAGAGTAGTTTTAATAGCGGGTCAACATCCTATCCTCACATCCAGTGTTCATAGTACGCATGCTAGTTCAAACAATGAAATCTTTGATAGACAAGCTAGTTGAAAACCTCATGTACCTTTCACTCCAAGTGTAAAAGGGCAGAGAAATGTTTTTGATGGATGTAACAGATTGCGAGGTGATGCATTGAGATTCATGCATCTATTCAAAGAGAGTCTTTAAGTTAGCGCATAGGCCTGGACGAGTTTTATCTTTTGGCGATGGAAGTTTGTTTGCGTAAACAGCTCCTTCAGTTTTCATTGAGTTTATTGTTTGCTACAGTGTTTTGGTAGGCAGCAACAGTGCAGATATAACCATAATCTGAAGATGTATTTTTGCACTCATGATAGATCATCTTGCACCGCCACATAGAAAAGTACGTTCTTTGAGTAATATACTTACTTGCAAAATGTATACGAAGAAACTTAACAGCATAACAAAAAAGTTAGAGCTGCACTTAGCGAGAACCAGAGAAAACAATAATATATTTGATACAAAAAGCACCATAAGTCCAAGAGCCATTCTACTTAAAACTACTGGGGCAAAAGTTTGAAAGCCGACTTCGCGGTGTTGTGAATTACGATATAACTGATGAGGTTCCAAATTCGTGCCACGCAATGCTGCCAATATACTTTACAAAATACTTTACTTAGCTAAAAATGCCTGCCACATGCTTTTGTAAGACTTAAATTTATCAAATAAGTGCTTCTGCAGAAGGAGAAAATCAAAGTTTTCAGTATTCACAATTTATTCGATAGCTAAAGATACTGTGAATATTCTACAACACTTTGATGCAATGTAAAGGAGGCTTTGAGCTATCTCATCATAGTATTAGGTTGTAAAGAAAGTTCCCGGGCATTTGCGAAAATTCTTTTCAAATCGCTGTAACTTCAAGCAGATTAATTCTTTTTTGAAGCTACAAACTTTATTGCACAGACAATTTTGTCCACAACATATACAGGGTGTCCCAAAAAAATGTATCGAACGTTTGATCGTTAATATCTCTCTTCTGAAGAAGCTTTTTCCATTGCTTCAGGTACCAATCTGTAGAGCTAGCTTCAACTTAGATTTGCATTATAGAACGGATCACCCATCTCTCTTCATTACTGTAGGGTTACGGTAAAAAGTTGAAACATATGGTGTCAATGAGGAAAAAGCTGCTGTTTCAAAACTTTTCAAAAAAATGTGAAAACTTGTGTATTGGGGTTTTTATGGACGCTGAGTTCAATACTCAACTATTCACAAGATTGCGAAGCTTTCTAAACGGTGTAACCGCACTTTTTAAGAACATTGAAAGAATGGCCGCTACCTCTTACCTGGCATAACTCTTCAATGAAGCATCATAATAAACTGGGAACTTCACATTCATAATCAGCAACTCTAATTGGCCTAGTGTAAAAGTTTTCAGGCTGTTTTGTTTCCTTTCTGGGGCAAAATACGGACTTTCATTGCTTAAAACCCTCTTTGAAGTTTCTACCGTAATCCTACAGTAATGAAGAGAGATGAGTGATTCGTTCTATAATGCAAATGTAAGTTGAAGCCAACTCTACAGATTGGTACCTGAAGCAATGGAAAAGGCTTTTTCAGAAGAGAGATATTAACGATCAAACGTTCGATACATTTTTTTGGGACACCCTGTATATTTGTCTTGCTGGCTTCTCAGCACCTCACTGCGGTCCACCAGCATGCACAGGAGGGAAAAAGGTTGTCGCGAAAAGTGGCCTATTTGTGCAGAATTATCTCAGGCATGATGAGAGCTGGAGAGCCCAAATGCCGTAGTTATGTAGAGATATGCTGGGGCTGTTATGGGGACCTTTGAAGGACCACCTTTAAAAAATTTTTTCCAGAAATTTTGAAAAATTGATCATTTTTTGTCCCACAAAATACACCATTCTTCGAGTAAGTGACTCTGAAGTCTTCTAGTTCTACACAGAAAGGATCAAATATTTGATTACTGGGAAAATTGTTAGGATAATGCCTTGCACATCTTTTAGACCCATCATCCAGGCGTGGCGATCGCAGAATCGACGAAAAGAGTTGCAGTTAGAGGCAAGTTCGAAGCTTGTAATTTCTGAGCGCAAATCGCAAAACCTGAGTGCAGCTGCGGGTCAGAAGTCAACAGGCTTGTCTATCAAATCACCCATGATTTGGACGAAATCCTTTGAACTGCACAAAGATGGTCGTAGGAAGAAAGATTATGAAATTTTTGTGGTTGGAAAGATTTCTCTTCTTGACGTGCAGATCAAACACGTCTTGACGTCGATGAAAATCAGAAGCCGTACTGAAAACTTTAGGCTCCCCTCTACTGAACAGTATAAAACACTTGGTATCAAAGTCCGACCGAGCGCCGAAAAATGCGTTCAAAAATGAAATTTCCAGAAGTGCCCGGGAACTTTCTTTACAACCAAATAGTTGCGTTTGCCAGGAGATATTGTTTCAAAAACGCAAGGTGAATATCTGCGAATATTACTTGCGTGCCAGTGTTGTTCCATTTGTTTTGAAATGAGTTTAGAGCTAAAGAAGCGCAGCATGCTTAGTTTTAGGCCATATTTTTTTCCATGAATCTTTCATATAAGCATCTGGTTGAACTAGATTGATGAAGCAACTTCGATACTTTATAGATTATGATTTTCAGCTCCCGTTAGTGCAATCGCATCTAAATTTCAATATGCGAATGCACTTGCCTTCACTCAAAATTCCAAAATCATGTTGCAAAAAAAATTTCCTTATAATATGTTGTAGCCAAAAGTTTGGTCTATCACACTACACATTCGCCTAGTGAAAGAAGCACTTATCGTGAAGGCATGGGACGAATTCCATCACGACTGCCGCGAGCCATGACAGGCAGACTTGCCAAGATTTCGAAGGGTTGCATCAAAGCCAAAACAGTCTCAGAAATTTAAGGGCTGTTTGTGAAAATTCTTTATAAGTGTACCAAACTTTTCGCTCCTAGGTACTTTTCTTCTCATTTTATTTGAAAAATACTAGGCTCCCAGATTTTTGCCCCCTCGATAGTAATATCTTACTTAGTTCAACCTTTTTTTAAAGAATCTGTAAGCTTGTTAAGTAGCTCGTTCTGAGAGAACAAAGTGCTGCTGTGTATGATCCTGAAAGTTTCCAAGATTGTTGGTTTCTTCGTATGCCTAACTTAGAGATGATACAGTTTGAAGCACTTGTCTCATAATAATCTACCGAATTGAGTAAAGGTTGAGATAGAGAGTGAGTTTCTTCATTACCTTTGACTCTGCCTAATACACATAGAGTTCAAATCAGCCCGCCTGTAGGTCTGTGATGTATGTATGTTCTAAATGTTCCTGGTTCTAAACCGATCTGGGGCGGTATGCATCAATCTCCAGTTTTGAAAGCGGGCGATCATGTTCAATAGATATCATACATCACGGGTCGGGCGCCCAACCCGGCCGGGCGATCATTTTCTATTGAAAATGATCGCACGCTTTGAAAACGGGAGCTTGATGCATACCGCCTCTGGACTCACATAGAAATCGGGCAGGGACGAATGCCAAATTCTATTAGGG